AGCGCCTGAAATCCGCAGCTTGCACTGTATGCTTCCGCGGAAGCCGAGAATGTTCTTGAGTGTTCTCAGAGGGTCTGCTGGAGTAATAATAGTTGTAAAGCGCATAGAGCATGCTCTTGAGCATGGGTATGCGCTATATAAATGCAATTATTATTATTATTATAATACCAACAGGCTTGTCAACTTTTTCCATACCCAATCAGGGACACTCAGAACATTGTATACTATGTGCCTGTAAAATTGATTTGTAATTCCCTAATATGTTTCATGTTAAGTGCATAGAGCATTGCATAAGTAGATATCCGCTTTACTATATAATTGCAATCCATTATTATTATTTATTATAACTTCAGATAACCAGTAAACGAACAAAGGTACAGTAAGTGAAAGATACATGAAGTGAGACTGCTTTCGCTCTCAAATTTCCGATCGGCGTACCCGGAACAGTCCCAGTAAATTCAAGACAGCTGACAACTTTGTTGTATTAAGACTGATAATGACAATGAACAATGACACCTCTGGTGTCTATTTGATCGTACTCTGTAGGAATTCCGTAGGGCAATAGCAGCACATCTGTTTTACTAGATCATGCAGCGACAGACTCTGATAAAAAAAACCTCAAGACTACTCAATGTCGCGTGACATTTTCTGATCAGATTTGACCTTTCCTCCAATCATCAATCCTCCTGCCTTAATTTTTTTTTAAAAGCCTACGCATAAATCCCAAACTGATGTTCGAAACAGAACAAACTCTTAACAAAGTCCCAAGAAAGATTTTTTCAAAACTAGAATGTGGGTTTTCTTTTGTCCTAGTTTCTGGGACTATTCTCATTATTCTGTACATATATGATGCATAAGGACTTGAAGAGAAGAGGCCTTCCGTTCGCTCAGTTGGTATCACACTGGACTACTAAGCTGATGACCCTGGTTCGAATCTCAGGCTGGGCGTTCGTGAACTCACATCATTTTGCGGAGTTTTCAAGACTCTCTACCAATTTGGTCTGGTCCTATAGGAGATGGATGTTCAATTCAGAGGTCCCGACTCTGAAATAACCTGCTGATACTGTATGGTAGGTGGGGGTAGTAGAGGGGGGGGGGGGGGGTGGTTGTTGTTGTTAAACCCAATCACTTTCTTTACAAGGACTTGAAGCATTGAAACGTCTTCACCCACCTGCGTGGGTGGTTGGCTGGTGCTCTGGTGTGGTTTTCTCCTTCTTTCCTATCAAACACCTCAGCCATACCTCTCGTCCTCCTTTTTTTGGTGTTTATTATTACTTTCTTGTAACACCTCTCTCCCACACTCACATGACCTAATTGTGTTGATTGTGTTGAAAGAGCCGTAAAACTCTTTTACTAAAACAACCAAAACCGCGACGCACCTGTCTGATGGACATGGTACACAGGATGTAGAGGAAGATAAAGGAGCAGTGGGTGTAGTCTTCCCCGGGCAGGTTGCGGTGAGAAATTCCTTGAATGAAGGAGATCGGGGTGAAAGGCAAGTTGGCCACCACTCGTCCGTCAAATCTGTGCCGAGAAAGAGAGAGGAAAAAATAAGACAGCGAAAGATCTTGTCAGTATGTTAGTGTTTTAGCGCCTGTAAATGGCCGCTTGCACTGTATGCTTCCCAGGAAGTTGAGGTTGTTTCAGAATGCTCTCAGGTCTGCCGGGGAAATAGTATAGATTGTGAAGCGCATAGAGCCTGCTGTTGAGCAGGGATTTGCGCTATACAAATGCTATCTATTATTATTATTATTATTATTAAAAAGTCCAAAACTTTAAAGCACACAGTTTGAACAGTTCTTTCTTCAGAGTAAATGGAAGCTTCTTCATCATGTATATATGTCCAAACTATTTCTCTGTTTCATGATTTTTTTCTAAACAAGGTTGATTAAAGGCACAAAAAAATTTTACATTTTCAGTTTCCATGGACTCTCAAGCTATGAAAGTTAATAAACTTTGGCGGCAATTTTTTTTGCTAATTTTGCTACTGAAACCAGGCAACTACCACCTCAATTAAATTGCAAATATCTCGACTTCTATTCAAGAATAATGGGTGCTTTTTTCATTGAAAAGTGAACAAACGAACAAGCTATAACATGATACCAATAACTCCATACGTCCTAAAATTTAGGAGCGCCTGATTCCACCACGCCATGACACATATGTTATTTTCATACAGGATTAATCAAACATATGTGTAAAGACGAGGTGGAATCAGGCTCTCATCAATTTTTGGACAAGTGAAGTTATCGGAATCACCTGAAAGCTTATTCATTTGCCTTGTTTTCATTGAAAAAAATACCCATCTAGCTAGAATAGGCGTCGAGATAAATGCGATTGAAGAAGGTGAGGTAGCCTGTTTTCAGCTGTTAAATTAATGAGAAAATGGCCGCCAAAGTTTGGTAACTTCAATAGCTTATGAGTCTTTGAAAACTGAAAATTACGTACTGTGTGGCTTTAAACAAGGTTTCTCAGTTGGCCTAAAATTCCCATGGAAATGTATTTTCTTATCAACATAAAAGGTGTTAAGCCAATATCAACATAAAAGGTGTTAAGCCAATATCAACATAAAAGGTGTTAAGCCAATATCAACATAAAAGGTGTTAAGCCAAAAAACTAAATTTTGATAAAAAATTGCAAAACTGATGGGAAAAATGCCCTATTTTTCCATTTCATTATTTTGAGGAGCGCCTTATTTCACTACAATGTGTCACATATTTATCTTTTCCTGAATTCAAGTTTTTTAAGCCAGGTACTCAAAGACTTACATTGAGTTGAACATGCTCAGCAAAGCTGTAAAGGCAAATCCAATGGCAAACATGGACTTCATCTTCACCTGAAGGAAAAAAACAAGAGAAATATTATTTAATAAAGAAAGCAAAAAACCTAACCAAGACCCACTTTATAATCACAGTGAAACACTGATACCACAAACTTCTCTGGGCTAGAAAACACTGATACCACAAACTTCTCTGGGCTAGAAAACACTGATACCACAAACTTCTCTGGGCTAGAAAACACTGATACCACAAACTTCTCTGGGCTAGAAAACACTGATACCACAAATTTCTCTGGGCTAGAAAACACTGATACCACAAACTTCTCTGGGCTAGAAAACACTGATACCACAAACTTCTCTGGGCTAGAAAACACTGATACCACAAACTTCTCTGGGCTAGAAAACACTGATACCACAAACTTCTCTGGGCTAGAGAACACTGATACCACAAACTTCTCTGGGCTAGAGAACACTGATACCACAAACTTCTCTGGGCTAGAAAACACTGATACCACAAACTTCTCTGGGCTAGAGAAGTTGTCAAGCAGAGTCAGAGTGCTATTGAAAAGAACAACAACAACAAAACAAACAAATGTAAATTTAAAAAATAAAAAAAGACCCCTTTTCAAAATTTTATTTTTACAAGTCATGTCATTGCAACTCCGTAAGAACCCGATCATCATCATCAGAAGGCCCAAAAAATATTTAAAAATTATATATATTTAAAAACTACCCCCCCCCCCTCCCAATGGGTTCTTAAAGTGACTGGGTTCCTTAGCAGATTTCAAGGAGCCTACCACCTTAGCTCTTAACACTTGGCCCTCACCCTCACTCCTTTCTCCTTCATTAAACTGTCCCCGTGGTTTTATGCACCCCACATAATTTAGCAAAATTCGATCATTTTTTTGCTTAATTTCTAATTATTTTCCTTCATCATTCTTTGTTAACATGTTAAAATTAACAGAATCGCATAATTTCACATTTTTTAGCTCAGTTTGCATAATTTCAGAATTTTTCTTGCATAAAACCACGGGGACAGATTAAAAATAACAAGTCATGGAAAAGTGTAGTAAGTTAATTCGAAAAGTTTATTTCCTTCAGTTCAGTTCAAACTCCACAAAATAATAACACTAAAAACTAAAAAGGCAAAGCCTAAATTGAATTCCCAAGGAAGAAGGAGGAGAGGAAGGCCAAGATCCACCAGATAGTGAGGAGGAGGAGGATCTCAGGCTGGTGAAAAGACTGACCAAAATACAGATCTGTAGTTGGAGAGCCCTTCTTGGCAGCATATATATACCCAATAAGAGAGAGAGAGAGAGAGAGAGAGAGAGAGAGAGAGAGAGAGAGAGAGAGAGAGAGGGGGGGGGAGAGGAGAGAGAGAGAGAGAGAGGAAGGGAGGGAGGGAGAGAGGGAGAGAGAGAGAGACAGAGAGCCAGCGAGCCAGCTTAATAAACCGGTTTCTTCAGCGGATTTTTTATTTTTATTTTCAGAACGGGATCTCAAGCATGAAAATTACACAGAAACAACTCAGTACACGAGAAAAGCAGGGCTCGACTCTAATGCCGACTGGGTTCTTACACAGCGTGTTCCCAGGACCAGGATGTGCTGACTGAACCCACACGTCAATCTGTGTACGGATCCAGCCGCGACATTATGCAATAAACGATCCATCAATACTCGTTGAGTTTTGCATGTATTGAAAAAGAAAAGTTATTATTTAACCAGATTTGATAAGACGAATATTTAGAGAGAATTTCCTTTGGTCAGAACAAAACATTTTCTGTTACTGTTCTATTGTAGAGGGCTCTGAGCCTGTGTACTTTAACTTTAATCGGGATTAAGGGCTATATAAATGTTGATTATTACATATTATTTCCCCCCCTTGGAAAGAAATAACAACCCAAAAACATTTTTAAAATACAAATAGTAAGTAATTTCACCACCACCAACTTGTTGAACGCTGGAAAGAAAGTCAAACGTACCAAAGACAGATCTCTGCTGTTTGTCTTCAATTTTTCCTCTTGGCGCTCTGGAACAGAGAACAAACAAAAGTACATGTACTAAAAATAGAAGCGATAAATCTTAAACTTTAAGCATATATAAATCATAACTGAACAAAAGGAACAATTTCCAGGCAAAATAATAATAAAAATGTCGACCCCAGTTCTATAGCGCCTACTTTCAAGTGCACCTAGCTGTAGGCACTTCTTCATCAATCCCAGTACAAAGATCAAAAACTGCGAAAACAAACAGTAATATTTGCTCATTATACGAATAAAGAAATCACACACGATAGGCATGCCCATGCATACTTAGATATAATATATCATTAACAGACTTACTGGGAACTTCAACTGAATATGCAGAAAGTTTAATACGCATATGAGAGGCAGCGTGGTGAAATCAGGCGCTCGTCAAAATAATGAATGTCAAGAAACTGGCATTTTTTCGCAATTTTGGTAATTTTTATCGAATTTTTGTTTTTAGGCTCCACACCTTTCATGCCCTTTAAAGAACACATTTCTGAGTGAGTTTTACTCAAATACATTGAAAAGATGTAAATTTTCAGTTTCCACAGACTCCCAAGCAAAGGAAATAAATCAACTTTGGCGGTTATTTTCTCACTAATTTTACCTCTGAAGCCAGGCAACCCCCACCTCCTTCAATCTCAAATATATGTGGAATTGTTTTCAAGATAAAAAGATAATTTTTTCAGCAAAAGCAAGGCAAATGGACAGGCTTTAAGATTATACCCATAACTCCGTATGCCCAAGATTGACGAGCGCCTGATTCCACCGCGCCATGACACATATAGGTTTGATCAAAACTGATAAAACACTTTAAATCTCATATTAGTTAAAGACTCCCACAATGCCACTTCTTGGAAAGTTATGACTTTGGAAAATACGCAGCGTAATTCAAGAGTAGAAGACAAACCAAAGACACAATCGTCCATCAATGGCTACCTACCGTAAAGCTTGACTACAAAAACTCAATACTGCATAGACAAAGAAAGGACAAACAACGAAAAAATTGCCCCCTATGAAATTAATTTTGGCATTTGTTTTTAGGTGGCAGAGGCAAATGAATTAGACTCTATGGAAAAACCATGAGGTTTGAATGCACCAGCAATTGAAGAACAATGGCTGTCTATTGCTTCACCATCTCATTCAAACTAAATGACTACTTATGTTCATACTAAATAGGCTACAGTCTAGCACGCTCAAAGTCAAACACGCACATCATACACAACAGGATTTTCAGGTCCCAAAGTTTTTCTTTCGAGAAAATTCTTAAAATTTAAAACATGAACATGAGCAAAATTCGTACATAACAAAAAGATTTCAGCATCTGGCCGATTTCGTTACGTGCTTTCTAGACCATACTATTTATTTATAATAAAAGTAGTAGTAAAATTAACACAAGCTACAACATGAAAGTTCTGCATGCAAAAGATGAACAACTCACCCAATTTTTTCTTTTGAACTCGGTCGTTGGACTCAGTCTCCCTCTGTTTTTCCACTGAAGAATAAAATAGGTTGTAATAGATCAATATTAAACGCTGTTGAAAGATCAAGAATACATTTTGAAATTACGAGGGTCAATGAAATTATAAATAACATCGTTATCAGCATCACGTAAATCATTTTGTTATTTGACTCAGTCCACAGCACTCTAATACAGGATACTCTTGTTAACAGCACTCTAATACAGGATACTCTTGTTAACAGCACTCTAATACAGGATACTCTTGTTAACAGCACTCTAATACAGGATACTCTTGTTAACAGCACTCTAATACAGGATACTCTTGTTAACAGCACTCTAATACAGGATACTCTTGTTAACAGCACTCTGATACAGGATACTCTTGTTAACCGCACTCTAATACAGGATACTCTTGTTAACCCCTTTGTGACAGTTCCCGTACCCCGTATGTCGAACACCACGATCCATGATGCTGTCCTTCCATACAATGTACGTCCAAAAATGCCCCATTAAAGATTTTTTATATATATATATATATATATATGTTCTGCAATAGCTTTGAATGAGATTTTACCAGAAAACTAAAACGATATGATACTGAAACTGAAAAAATACAAATTACATTTTGAAAGGGTCTACAACGTTATTCAAGCTGCTCGTAGTGCCGAGTAACAAAAATTGGGGGGAAGAAAAAGTTGAAAAAACCCCCAACCCTGACATCATGTAGGGGTTAGGCACTTGCCTATATGTGACATCCCATCATCATTTCTCATACACCTCAACTACAACTTTTTCAAAACTAAAATCAAGATATAACTTCAGATTCCGGGAATAATATTATTTTCTCAAGAATAATTGTGAGGCATCGTGGTGAAATCAGGCGCTCGTCAAAATAATGAAAGTGAAGAAACTGGCATTTTTCTGGCAGTATGGTAATTTTTATCGATTTTTTTTGTTTTTTGGCTCAACACCATTGTTGTTCAATTAACAACACATTTGTGAGTGGATTTTACTGAAAAATGTTGATTAAAGGACCAGAAAAATGTAAATTTTCATTTATCAAGGACTCTCAAGCTATGAAAGTTATCAAACTTTGGCGGCCATTTTCTGGATAATTTTACCTCTGAAACCAGGTGACCCCCACCTCCTTCAATGACAAATATCTCCACTTCTATTCATGACAGATGAGTATTTTTTTCACAGAAAGCAAAACAAATGGACAAGCTTTAAAACTATTTAATTAATTCCACACGTCCCAAAATTGACGAGAGCCTGATTCCACCGCGTCGGGACACAATTGGTTGAGCCAGCATTCATAAGGTTATGGAAACTCACACTTTTTTAAAAACAGTGGCCTACACGTGACATCCCATCATCATTTCTCATACACCGCAACTACAACTTTTTCAAAACTAAAATCAAGATATAACTTCAGATTCCAGGTATAATATTATATAAATTTTCTAAAAAATAATTGGTTGAGCCAGCATTCATAAGGTCATGGAAACTCACACTTTTTGCTTTGCTTTTCCACTTCGGCCTTCAGCTTCTTATACTTTTCTGTTCGGTACACCATCAGCCACGTCAGACCTGGGGAAGAGGCGTAACTCTGTATGATGTGAGGGGAAAATAACTTCTGGCGACCACAGTTCATAATAAAACTGTGAACTATCTGACGACGGTCAAGTTGGGAAAGACAACTTTAACATAAGGCACGATGAAATCGAAACGTAAAATACATCATCCACATCGATAGAAAGTATTCCGAAATTAGGAAAAACAGGTCTTGTTTCACACCGGGTGAGAAAAGCCTCCCGTGGCAAGTCTCACCCGGGGTGAGAGGTCGATCGTATTTCTATTGGCCGTCGTTATTCGGATTCGAGTCCGAACTCGGGTCCGGAAAAAAGGAAGTGTCTTCGTTCTATAGATCTAACGTTCAGTGCTTCCAGTTTTCCGCCATTTTTTAGTTTCCCCCACACCTTATCTGCAGATCCAATGCCCGCCGCCTCATTGATACGCCCCCCCCCCCCCCACGTTTCCCACTTTCTTTGTTGTAGAAAAAGGTAAAATTGAAGATTAGCAGACCACCTGGCACCTGCATATTATGAGCTGTGTAAAAAAAAAAAGACTGATTCGTTCAAATACACAAGCCTGTGTCATATCGATTGTTTACCAAGAAAAAGTTGTGTTGCTGTGTAGAGCTGAGCATACGGCAACTTTTGATTCCATAGACCAGCGCACAATTCATTACGTAGATCTACGTCAAGACTAGCTTATTATTGTAATAATGATCAGTTGCCGGGGGGGGGGGGGGGGGGGAAGACTGACGTGTATGCGACGTTCAAAGCCCGGACCAATAGTGCCACCCCCCCCCCCCAACCACCCTCCCCGACACGCACACAGCCACACGTGTGCAGGCCGCCCATCCGACCCCGACACACGCTAACGAGTCATCTTTAATTGCTTCTGAGACCTCTTGACAAATAAACATTTATTAGAAGCGCTATAACTTTTCAGGCCGGCCTCAAATTCATCATAAGATTAAAACTCGGCTCCTGCACAAAACGTAGCAATGCCAATGAAAATTTAAATTTTCACTTTTGCCCTTTTTTTTGGTACCTAAGAAAGAATTTTCAACTCTAAGAATTATGCTTCTTGAATTTTGAGAATCGGTTCATAAATAAAAAAGTTATGGGGTTGTAAAGGTCGACAAAATATGGATGACCCACATATAGGAAAATACTCCAAAAATGTGGACCACGCAGTAGCAGATTCTGTAAGAAAATCGACGATATCTCTGTTCTGTAACTAATCGGAGTGTACGAGAGAAACTTGGCTACCCAATGTGTTTTTGAGTGTAGAAATCATTTCTGCAGTCAGATTTACTACCAATTTCGTAGTTATTTTGTTATAATTAAAATTGTGATGTACATATTACGATTTTGCGAAAAAGGGATGTCGGGATGAGTCCATTTTATTTATATCATCGTATCACAACATGGGATCTTTAAGAATATATGTCGGCAGCGTGACTAAATAATTACAAAGCTTTTTATGATGACTTTAGACCATGCCAACAGTAAAAAATAAGTTAATTCAATCTAGCATGCCGTACAATTAAAAATTCTTTTTCCCCGTTGAGACGCGAACACCCCGAGACGAGATAACCTCGCCTCGGAATACCCCCATTGCGATGTTACAGGGGAATAGAGAGAAAAACAACCGGATGCGCGAGCCCGCCATTGCCCTATTTCAAGTGACCAATGAACGGGCCCGGAATAGTCATGCGGGGATTTGTAGGTCACATACATTTGCCACGAGAGTGAGGGGAAAATGGCCGGTCTCCGTGCGAAGCCGCTTTGGATAGGGGGGTAGTCGTGCATTTATGATTGGGTCTAAACAACTACTTGACACAGAACGTACAAATTGGAGCACACTATACTATCTAATAGAGGATAGATAGATCTATTACCACCTCGGCGTTGAAATTCAAACTCCTTATAGTTTTCGGTGTACACGATACGAAAGTGTTCCCGACACCAAAAGTATAGGTTAATTTATGTGTACGAACTTCAACATCCACATATCATTAGTTTGCCCTATTTTCTGATTGGTTGCCGAGTTTCACTCGGATTGGTTCGGAAATAGAGCAGACCGAGGTTGACAAAGTTAGTCACCTATGCTTCGGCCGGGTCCGCAAAATCGCCCGTAAACGGGGACCAAATTTTCGCCTCGCGGGAAAGCCCGATTGGCATTGCTACAAAACGCCTTTTTGCCCGAAGTGATCCCGGTCACTATCCAGCCTGAGGCGAGTCACCAGTGAGGCAGGACAGGAAGCCGGATTCACGAGTCACAGGAAGTCGGAAATGATGTCATGCTGGACAAGAATCAGAGTCCGAATAACATTTTTTCATATTCGGACTCGAGTCCGAATAATCATTTCGATTTCTATTCTCACCCCGGGTGAGAATAGCCACTTCCTTTGACAGTACAAAGAAAATATCTAGATCTAGGAGTGGCACATCATTCGAGTTTTCAGTGTTCAGGTTATCTGTGCTCGGGAGGACTTCCGTAACGAGCGACCACTATGAAACAGAGCAGAATTAAGGGCTTGGACTTGGGGTAGGGGTAGGGGTAGGGGTAAGGGTAGGGTTAGGGGTAGGTTTGGCCACCTCTATTCTCACCCGGGGTGAGAATAGTGCAGGCGAGTCTTTTGGCTATTCTCACCCGGTGCGCGTTCACCGTTATAGCCTAGATCTAGGCCAACAAATTTTGCGTTCACCCTAAACCACAGAATTCTACACTGTGATAACAGAAAAATTGTAGAATTCTGTGCTGTGAACAAACGTTCCATTACAACTGTACTTGTAGCCTACTAAAAGCGTACAATTTTGTCTGTGGGCAGTGGAGAGAGAGAGAGTGAGAGAGTGAAAGAGAGAGAACAAAACAAAATGGCGACCCGCGTAGTTCGGCTCGATTCGAAAAGTTAAATAGCCGTAGCATCTTTGTAGACAACCAAATTAATTTACTTTTGTGTTTTAACATCATTTTTTAACTTTGTTTTGGTCAATTTGATCGTCCACACCGATAGACAGTATTCAGAAAGAGACAGAGAGAGAGAGAAGAGGGGAGGAGTAGATCTTGCGAGAACTTCCGAGCGGGTGAGAATAGCCACTTTCGGTAGGTTTAGGTCTAGGCCTCTTCTTTATTGTGTTCGAAGGGGTGATCGCTCGTTACGGATGTCCTTCCCTGTGCTCCACAGTATCATCAATAATAAGTTCAATAACATCTGCCACTGTTATCACGACTGATGCCCGATGACAAGTATCTATCTGTCTGTGCCGACTCTGCTGAGACGACTGACTGAGAGACTTCTGACTTCACGTTTTAGTACGGCCCAAGTGTAACTAGATTTAGAATCTAGAATTTATATTCATATTACTTGAGAACATTCTTCTAAAATTCCACTCACCTTCTCCAAGAAGGGCTGTGCATACTGATATAAATACAATTAGTATGCAGTCTGACAACATTGTTGTGATCTTTCTGCGGTCGCTCTTCCCACTCCGTCGGCTGAGATTAGAGAAACGAAAACTAGTTGTAAAATCAATTCAACGATTTGTTTCCAATTTACCGGAACTTGTTGTAGTTGCCGTATTGTCATGTCTGAATAAGCAGATCGTTATATATAACAATAAACTAGATATCTGAAAATGCTCACAAAGTCCTCAAATCATCCCGAAAATGAATATAAAAATATATAGTCTGAATATGTTCATTAATCAGCAAATAAATAAGCTTATCAATTTTTTCTTTGACCATAAAAATGAAGAAAAAATTACGACTTGGGTTTTCTGAAAACTCTGGAATAAACTCAATTGACCATAGTATATTAGCTAACATACCACTTTGAAATCCTCGTAGCTGATACACAAGTTGCAAGACCACAACATGGCTGGTCGTGGTAAACACGCCCTGTCTTTTAAAATTCTTGGAGAATGCTCCACATCAAAAGCACGGGCGTCTGCAGTGACGCTCCCGCACGCGACAGTTGAGGCTCCAGTTTTCATGCCTGTCGGAACTCAAGGAACGTTGAAAGGGCTTGTTCCCGATCAGCTGAGAGAACTTGACTGCAAAATAATGTTGGGAAATACCTATCATTTAGGACACCGACCAGTGAGTTGTATTCTTGACTTGCTGGTCTTTACTTTTGCATGCCTCTTGTTATTCCATCTTCCCGGAGACACTAGATTTCTAGATCTAGATCTACTTCTCTTCCCTCCCAGCCCGCTCCTCATTCTGTTTTAGAAGAATTAGAAGAAATCTCTGTTAGAAGATAAAATAAGAGGCTAGCCGTACTTAATGACGGCTTGACAGCTAGGCGAGCCAGTGATTGCTAAGATTCCCGCTTTTAATTCCGATTTGTGTTTTTCATAGCCTCAGGCATACTTTTTTTGCTTTGGTCCCTAACCCTAACCCTAACCCTGTCCCTAACTTTCTCCCGGTAAGAAGGGACCAAAGCAAAACATGCTTGAGGCAATGAAAAACACAAATCGGAATTAAACGCGGGATTCTTAACAATCGCCGGCTAAACTGGCAAGCTAGCGGTAGGCCTACTTATTAATGATGGCTAGTAGAGACTGACTAACAACAAAAAATAGGCGTACTAAATTGTAAGTAAATTTTTAGTTTGCAATTTACCTTAATTAAGTGTATTGTATTTGAGATGAAACCAAAAGGTTCCTTACTGACAGTGCATGTGTTTTAAACCTGAATAATTCTTATGAGACCTTTGTACTCAACAGGTTTCTAATAGGGCCTAAAAAGTACGGCTAGACGTAGGCTGAATTGTAAATATAAAATTTTAGTTTGCAATACCTAAAGTTTACAATTTCAGACGAACCGAAAGGTGCCTTACTGACATCATGAATATTGACTAGATCTATGAGACCTGTGTACTCAAAAGGTTTCGGTCAATAGGGCCAAACCTAGATTCTAAGTAAGGCTAGACGACTAGCCGTATTTAAGTGCAGCTAGCCACTTTGTATCATTATTGTTGTTACAAATTTATAGAATAAATAAGCACACAAAAACTTCCTTTATTTTTCTTGTAAATTGTCATTATAATGATTTAAAACTAATGCACAAAAAATTCCAAATCCATGCATATTATGACACAATTAAAATTATACGTGGGTGAAAAAATCTCCCTTGAAATCATCAGACAAATAAAATTTATTCCTTTTCAACAGTGGCGGCTCCTCAAATGTATAAAGGAATTACATCTTCAGAGTCATCACAGCAGACAAGCTGACACTGGACAATCACCCACAGTTGTAACAGTTGTTAGATCATTCACTTCTTTTGATTTTGATGTTGATGGCTAGTTAAATTTTTTCAATTTTGTACACAAAAATGACAAATGATTAAATTGCTTCATGAAATAACTTAAAATCCCGGCAATGGCATCCTGTTTGTTTTCACTGCTTTGATTAGGGTCCTGATTTGCTGGAGAAGGCAGGAGGTCTACACAAGTTCATGAACTGGGACCGAGCTCTGTTGACTGTAAGTCTTTTTTTCCCCTTCCCTCCCTTACTTAATTTTAATTTTAAAAAGGCTTTCTATAATTTATATGCTCTGTAAACCAGCAGTAGTGCATTTTCTGGGTTGGTTACAGAAATTTTGCTGCTTCAGATTATTTTTTTTTGTGTGTGTTTTGCCCTGAAAAGTTTCTTGTGAATATTCTGTAGTTTCATCATGTGTCAGAGGAACAATTAGATAATTTTCAAACGTGTGATCGTTTATCGTTTCACCGTTAAGCAAGTGGCTTGATAATTTTTTTCGTGATCTGAAGCTGGAATCCCTCTTTTGATTTGCTGTAAATGTTTCGGAAATGTACACAAGAAAAAAAAGTCATTCCCATTCCCCTCTCTTTAATTATTAGCTAGCTATTTAATGAGAGCAGTAACTTAACAGAAGTATTCTGAAAAAGATTGACAAATTATTATACACGTGTGACGTGTAAAACCCAAGCTCACTCTATCATGTTCCTTTCCGTGTCATACCAGGACAGCGGAGGTTTCCAGATGGTCTCATTGTTAGAACTTGCGGAGATAACAGAGGAAGGTGTCAAGTTCAAATCCCCTCACGATGGATCAATGATGTTGCTGACTCCAGAAAAATCTATTGAAATTCAGAACGCAATTGGTAGGTCAAAAATATATATAAATAATAAATGGTTATAGTTTTTAGTTCTGGCAATATGGTCCCATTTACATGATAACTAACAACTTCTAGTTCTTTTTCATTTCAATTCCTAATAGTAGTATTGCAGTTGTTCCCTGCTAATATCAAGCCTATGTAAGTAAATAAATGTCAAATTAATATGTTGTTGTTGTTCATTTAATTAGTATGAAATGATAATAAGAGACATGTTAAACTTGAAAAAAAAATGGCATCAGTTAAAATTCCTCAAATCCAACCCCTGTTTAAAATTTCGGCCGACATCTCCATTCATGGGTTGCGAGGAGTAACTAACTTATTTTGTCACCATGCCTCACGTTTGTGCCTTTGGTTCTCTCCCCTGGCTGCACAAACCACAGGCGCTGACATCATCATGCAGCTGGACGACGTCGTCCACTCGTCCGTCTCCGGACCTAGGCTGGAGGAGGCCATGCACAGGTACATCATCATCAATATCATCATCATCATCATCATGACGACAATAATTGTCTATTTTGTCCTTTACTAAGGATCAGGAAAGAAAAAGCAGCAGTTCCCTGTTGTAGATCAGGCACTGTTATGAGCGTGACATGAGTCAGCCCACTTACAATTCTACTATGCTTGAGAGTGGAGCCAACCGGAATATTGAATGGTGAATGGGGGGGGGGGACCTGCTCTAAAGGCCACCTGTCTAAGACAACCACTTGTACAAACGACTACTTCCCTCCCCCTAATCCTGTAGCGTTACTACAAGTCGTTCACCGGCACGTGATGCTTGCTCCCATTTCATTTTGAGTTCATACTTAACCGTGTAGGGTATATAAATGTCTGATTCCCTGTAAAGACTTCTCTGTTGACACCCACCCCTTGGCGCTCATATGACATTATGCAGTTGCGAGCACCGTAAAACCCTCTACTATTTAAAAAAAAATAAAGCAGGTTCAACTGTATTGTGTTGTCCTTGACCTTACAGAACCATCAGATGGCTGGACCGTTGTATCGCAGCTCACAAACGTCCCTCGGAGCAGTGTCTGTTTCCTATCGTGCAAGGAGGTTTGAATGCTGAGCTAAGGGAGAAATGTGCGAAAGGTATCAAAATTGTAATTGTGCCCGTATATGTGTGTGCGTGTGTGGTGCATACGTGTTGGGACCTTTCTATGAAAAATGAAACTACAGTGACACTGACACACGTAACACAGAGATGATAACTTACTGAACAAATTCTAAGCAGTGAAAGAAGCTTTCCTTGTTTATTTTGTTAGAGGCAACCTTTCTCTAACAAAAAACAAACAACAAAAAACGCCCTATCTTTGTCTAGAATATTTTCATCAGGTCATCATCTCCGACTTTGTGTGTCACCGCAGTTACATTTTTTGTGGCCAATTTGCAGATGTGAAATTTTCATGTGATCTCTGTCCGTTATTCTTTTAGCCCTGATGATACGGTTAAGTGAAATTGAGAGGGCTAGGTTCTTTCAACCATTGTAAACCAATATCCCTTGTTCCCTCACACCCCCTGGGGCGGTGCCACTGACTGAAGTGTCTTTAGGCCATTCCCAAAGGGGGGATATTTCTCGTTCATGCATAGTAGAATTGTAAATGGGCTTATTCATCAATGTCACGCTCATAGCTGTGCCTGATCTACAACAGGGAACTGTTGTTTTTTCTTTCCTAATCCTTACTATAGTCATTTTTACCTCTACTTCTTTTGTATGTTTGTCACACTCTTGTGACCCACTATTTCCGGGGTGCCTTGATAGTCGAAGCAGACTTTGTTCTGTTGAAGCTAGAGAGGTGAGCAGAGTAAGTCTGATTCCCTTTAAGGACTTCTCTGTTGACATCCAGAAAAACACTGTAAAACCTCTACTAAAACTAACTTGTTCCCTCAAATTAAATGAAGTAAAAGACCTAGACTTCTGATTCATTAAAAGAAAGTTCTATACAGAAGGTAATTCTTACCATCATCCGTTAAACTTCGACTATCTTAACTATAAATATATTATAAGTATTCCTTTGAGCTTTAAAGCATGCATTATCAGAATTTGATTGGGTTACAATCAGAATACTCATTTTGTATCTTGTTTAACCTGTCCCCGGGGTTTTATGCACCCCGCCTAATTTAGCATAATTTTCAGATTATTTTCCTTTATCATTCTTTGTTATAATTAACAGAGTTGCATAATTTCACATTTTTGGGATCAGTTTGCATAATTTCTGATTTATTTTTTTGTGTGCATAAAACCGTGGGGACAGTTTATCTCACCCAGCCCTAGTGCCTATACTATTAGTACCATATGCACGCGCAACGCTCCAACCATCTCGCCGACAGTATCAGTGTGGACAATTTCACCCTTGTCACCAAAAACACTACTTTTGTATGAAGCAGACTATAGCCTAATTGGAAGAGTAACCATTTTTTATCTTTAAAATGTGTACCAAATTCGGGTAGGATATATGTTAACATTTAGTATTTTTTTCAATTTTACAAAAAGTGGTAAAAGTCTCTAGGGAGAGCTGCCAACCTGGAAGTGTAGGCCTAGGGTTGAGTGAGTTAACGCTATTGTTGTTGTAAAAAAGTTTTTTGTGATACCATTTCTCCGCACAGAACTTCTGAAGAGAGACGTTGGTGGCTACGCCATCGGTGGGCTGAGCGGAGGGGAGGAGAAGTCAGACTTTTGGAAGATGGTCAAAGTCTCCACCGATCTGTTGCCCAAAGACAAACCGCGGTATCTCATGGGGGTCGGGTGAGTGTGCCTTCTTCTTGTACCGCTGTTTACAGCACTTTTCCTGTGTGCTTTCTTCTTCTGTTTACAGCCTATCCCCTGTGTGCTTTCTTCTTCTGTTTACAGCCTATCCCCTGTGTGCTTTCTTCTTCTGTTAACCCTTCAAGTCCCATGCGCGTATATTTTCAGCTGCGCCTGTACCTCCCAACCGTCCCAAAAAGTTTTGGGGTGTCAAAGTTGCGCATTAAAAAAAATTAGCAAACCTAATTAAAACTTAATTTTCATAAGATTTATTTATTTAAAGTTAAGCATTATTATATATTATCATCTAAACTTTTTTTTACAAAGATACTACATCACTTTTTAGAATGCATGCCCCTTTTTCTGAAAAACTGCTGTATTGTCTGGGACTGGGGTTAGGGAGTGCACAAAAATGGCTGGGGCTGGAAGGGTTAACAGCAGTGTGTTCTGTTTACAGCACTTCTCTAGCAACTAAATTTGATTGTGACCTTGAAATTTCAATTCGTTTGTTTTTCAAGGTGGCTAATCGAATTGGTTCTATTACGCCAAAGTTTTAGTTTTTTGCGGCTTTCCCTTCTGTGAAGGAAAATCGATGGAATCTGATTGACAGTGTGTACTGGCTAACGAGTTCCATCTACCCGGGGTGTAGGGATATCGCGCCCCAGTCTCGCCGGCTAGTCTTTCAACGGGCACTTAGGGTAATTTACATAGAGTAGAAGAATGGGATCCCACACCACAGTCTTCACCCCGCCCTCCATCCTCACCGCCATTTGGTCTGCGACTGCTTATTGAGATATTGGCAGCTAACCTCTATATCTAGAGGCCGTTCCACTCTCCGCCACCTGTGGCCACACTGGGTTGGGGTTGGTCGCCCCGGGGCCCAGACACTCTAGTCTGAAAAGTGACGTTTGACACAGTCTTACACTGAGCTGTCGGAATGACCTAGTTGTGTTGTCAGTGCTGGAAAACTTTTACCTAAACTGAACTCAGAAAGCGGGTGTCTTATATTTAAGATAAGATAATACTTAATTATCCCAGAGGGAGGTTTTTCTTGGCTGTACAGGACAGTAAAAACACATGCAGGTATACATAAAAGATTTAAATTATATATTACTCTCATTAAAATTCAATATGAAAAGAGAAGTAAAAGCTGACAGAATGTACTTATCACATCAGATGCATCATTCAACCGCATGCAGGAATTTAATTACAAGACCTTTGGAGTTATATAGATGCATATTCTAAAGTGCAACACACATCTATGCTTATTCTGACAAAAGCCTTATGCTAAATGGTAAAAAACTTCTTTTATATCTTTCTTTCGTTGTTTTTGGAGGTACATATCTGCCGCTGTGTGATCTTACTATTTGCATGGAAAGGGGGTGTGATGGGTCGTTTATAATGTTTTTTATCTTTTTTCTACATTTCAGGTTTGCCGTTGACCTGGTGGTGTGTGTGGCCCTGGGATGTGACATGTTTGACTGCGTTTTCCCGACACGCACAGCCGTAAGTTTTTCTTTTGTGAAATAGTTTAGTTTTAGTAAGAGTTTTACGAACGTGGAGACTGTTGTACTGTTTGGTTCAGAGACATGGAGGCTCATAGCATCAGCTGCAAGAAAACTGGAGAGCTTCATAAATGGATGTCTGAGAAGGATAGAGGGGATGAAGTGGTACGATCGAGTCACAGATGCTGAACTGTTGGAAAGAACAAGCCAAAGGCCAGTAAAGGAAGACATACAGGTGAAGAAATGGAAATGGATTGGACACACTCTGAGGAGACCCCCAACCAGCATCATCAGGCAGGCTTTGACGTGGAATCCACAAGGAAATCGTAAGAAAGGAAGACCAAAGATGACATGTAGGCGAGCGTTACAAAAGTGGAATTGGAAAAGGCGGGGACATCATGGAAACATCTAGAAAAGGATGCACAGCATCGCGATAAACAAAGTCGCTTAAACTTGGAAATGGTGTTTTAAAACTGAATCAAAACTTGGGAATTTCGGTGGAAACGCTTGACCCGGAAGTCAACGTTACATTATAACCTTTATTTTAACATGGATGTGTGGATTGGAATAAGATCTAAGCTAGAATTATAGGTCGGTTCTCGAGCCGTCGGGGGCGGCTTGCTGTAGGGAAGTCACTTTAGCCATGCCGCTGCCCACGGCTGGGCGTAGCGGATGAGTTAACACTTGCTTGTTTGTGACCCTGTCTGCCTTACCGAATGCTTTAGTGTAAGTCTGTCCCCGTGGTTTTTTGTACCTCGTGTAATTTAGCAAACTTTGATCATTTTTGGCATATTTTCTGATTAATTTCCTTTATCATTCTTTGTTAAAATCAATATATAGAATCGCATAATTTCACATTTTTGGCCTCAGTTTGCATAATTTCAGAATTTATTTTTGTGTAAAACAGCGTGGACAGGTAAGACTCCCTCATACCTCACTTTTCAAAATGGTGTCTGGTGGAGTCTTTCTCGAAGCAGTCAATATAAGATAAGATAAGATAAGATGAGATAAGATTCATCTTTATTGTGCAGATCCTGGCACATTGGTTTGGTGTTTCACGCACACATGCCCACACACGCGCACACACACACACACACACACACACACACACACACACACACACACACGTACACACACACACACACACACACACACGCAAGAATGCACACACACGCAGGCTTACAGTCACATGCATAATATAAATGTGCAGTGATATAAACAGTAACGATCTTAAGCTAGATACATACTCAATGTTATTCTGATGCATGCTCTAAGGTCATATGAATACTTATACAAGATGCTTAAGATGGAAGCATTTTGATAGATGATGGTATAAATAACCTTCTGTATCTTTCTTTGTTACAGATCAGAAGCCTAGGTCTTTTACTTCTGACTGATGTTTTTATTTGAGGGAACAAACGATGTTTGTTGTCTAAAAAGATGGAATTAATTTTATTTAGTGCAAGCTGTTATGTACAATTCATCCAAGTAGGGGGATGTAGATGAAATTTTACATGCTTTCCGTGTTAGTCGATTTAATTTTTCTTTATCTTGTTGTCTTGTGTTCCCGGCCCATGCTGTTATACAAAAATTGATCATACTTTCTATGATTGAATGATAGAATATGAACATCATCAATGTTTTATCAACTTAAAAATACGTGAGCTTCCTTAAAAAAAGATAGTCTTTTGTTCTCTTTTTTATGTAGGAGAGAAGTGTGGATACGCCAGTTGAGTCTGTTGTCTATTGTAACACCCAAATACTTATTATAATAATAATAGTAATAAATAGCTTTTGTATAGCGCATATCCCTTCTCAACAGCAGGCTCTATGCGCTTTACACTATATTATTACCCCAGCAGACCATAGAACACTCCGAAACATTCTCAGCTTCCCGGGAAGCATACAGTGCAAGCAGCTGATTAAGCGCTCAAACAATAACAAACTGACAAGATCTTTCGCTGTCTATAGCCGGGTACCCATTCCCACCTGGGTGAAGTGAGGAAAATTTGTGTAAAGTGCCTATCCCAAGGACACAACGTAGGGTCCCTGACGGGATTCGAACCTACAACCTTACGGTTGCGAGTCCGAGAGCCTAACTAGGTCACCGATGCCACACTCTGACACTTGCTCGATGTTTTCTCGTTTAATTCCGAGCGGCTGCAGGAGCAGCTTCCTTTTTCTAAAATCAACCACAAGTTCTTTTGGGTTTTTTCACATTTAGAAGCAGCTAAGTGGGTGGTTGGCGGGTGCTCTGGTGTGGTTTGCTGCTTCTTCTTTCCTATCAAACGTAGATCTATCGTCCTTATCTCCCCTCCTTTTTTTATGTTTGTTACTCTCTTGTAACACATCTAATCTTCTGGCGCTCATATGACCTTATGCAGTTGTTAGCGCCGTAAAACCTCTACTAAAACAAAAAAAACAAGAAGCAGCTTATGATTTTCTCACCATTTAGAACAGTTAAGTACAACATCATAAATCATATATTTATGTAATGTAAACAATATTTTTCTTTATGCTTCCCGGGAAGTTGAGAATGTTTCTGAGTGTTCTATGGTCTGCTGGGGTAATAATATAGTGTAAAGCGCATAGAGCTTGCTTTCGAGTGGGGACCTGTGCTATGCAAATGCTATTTATTATTATTTTTCTTTGTCTCCAGAGATTTGGATGCGCGCTCGTGAAAACAGGACAGCTGAATCTCAAGAGTAAATCGTTTGCCCAGGACTTCCGCCCCATCGACGGGTCGTGCCTGTGTCCTACATGCAAGACTTACACGAGGGCGTATCTCCACACACTGGCCAACACGGAGGCCGCGGCCTGCAACATCATCACCGTACACAACGTGGCCTACCAGGTACCGTCAGTGGGTGGTTGGTGGCCGCTCTGCTGGGCTTTGCTCTTTCTTTCCTGTCAAACGTCGATTGTCCTTATCTTACTTACTTTTTACTTTTTTCTTCCGCTTGTACTCAACCCAGTGAATGAAATATGCATTGTTTATAACCCATGATAAAAGATGTGTGCACCACCTGTACTCTTTCACTATGGAAACTTTATTTTACAAATGAGTGTTTTATATGATGGGATGTGGGCCAGTGGCCTTAAACACTGAATAACTTACTTACTTGCATGATTTTATACGGACTGGAGATTTTTTTAATTTTAGTTTTTTAGGTACTTTTGAGATATTGGATGTCCGAGTTTTGTGCATTTTGAATGCAAAAGCAGATAGTACTTTTTTCCTGAGTGTATTTTTCTCGGAGCAGAATGGTCATTTCAGAACCAAAAGGGGATCTCCATTCAGTGCGTGCAGATAGTAGAACCCGCAACAAACCGTGACTCGAAACATCCACAAAACGCTGATAGGACTCTTTTAGTTTAAACAGGGGGTTACTAAAGGACGGAGAAATGTGGTTTCTTCAATTTCATTATTTTGACTAGATCTGAATTTCACCACAATGACACGCTAATGTTGTTGGTTTTTTAAAAATTCCGTCCTCAGCTACGTTTGATGAAGTCGATGAATGTTGTTGTTTTTTTTATTCCATCCTCAGCTACGCTTGATGAAGTCGATGAATGTTTTTAAAAAAAATTATTCTGTCCTCAGCTACGCTTGATGAAGTCGATGAATGTTGTTTTTTAAAATTCTGTCCTCAGCTACGCTTGATGAAGTCGATGAATGTTGTTTTTTTTTATTCTGTCCTCAGCTACGTTTGATGAAGTCGATGAATGTTTTTTTTTTTTATTCTGTCCTCAGCTACGCTTGATGAAGTCGATGCGAGAGAGCATCCTTGCAGACAAATTCCCGGAGTTTGTGACGTCGTTCTTCAAGGACATGTTTCCTAGCGGAGAATTTCCGCAGTGGGCGGTGGATGCTCTGGACAGTGTGGGAATACATCTCAGGTAGCACAGGGGGGGG